CGTAAAAACCAAGAAAAAACCCTTTTTTTCCAAGAAAATACGACTGGTACGTAATTTCCTTCTAGCTACCTTGATAGTGCCTGCCAGTAAATGTCCATAGTGCGGAAGTCCGGTGGCAAACGGAGGGCCATCATAAAATGAGTATGGAGGCCTATCTTTGGATAGATGTATCTGAGTATTAAATGCATCTATTTCCCTCCAGAATTCAAGAATTTTCTCCTCCTCTTTTGGAAAGTTGAATTGATCTAAAGGCAATGGTCTAGTGAGACGAATAATAACCTCGAAAAAAAAAAAGTGAAGAGAAAGCTACTTACGATCCATGGTGAAGATTCCAATTGGACGATCAGTTAAATAAACTTATTATCACGTGCGCATATTTACTGATCGCGCGTTTCAGTTTAGAGCTTAGTTTTGACCGGTTTGGACCAAGGACCGAACTGTCGTTTCTTATGATAGCATATTTGTCGGTCGTATATACTCGTGGCTTGTAGTCTTATATTCCATACTTTATATCATACTTTTACAATTTTTTTTTTTGAACAAGATAGTCGGGCTTTGTCGGTTTTATTAAATTTGTAAGACAAGTTTTCCTCCGAAATAAAAATCCGTAAACCGGTTTATAAACCTTGACTATCCGAAAAAAACCCTCTCTCTGACAAGGTATATGTTAAGTTCCACCTTTGTTCCAATCAGGAAGTAAAATGTCAGATCTTGGAGAGAGTTAAAGTTTGTCTACTCTGCTTCAAAGTTAGGTGAAGTGAAAAAATATTTATAGATTATGCTAATTACTAGGTACCTTACCTTACATAGAAAGAAAACATTATTATTATTATTAGATAAAGTATTTAGCATATAAATTTCACAGATTACTTATGTCCCTTTTTGAGGGACAAAATTCATAGCTCAAAAGTCAGGAAATGCTATAAATCAATGATTTGGATAATGGAAAACAATTGTAAGTAGTTTTTTTATAGTTATTATTTTTTAAGTATCTATTTTTAATTATATTTATAGAGTTCTATTTTTTTTGAGTACTTGAAGTTAGATTAAATCATAGTTTATAATCAATTGAAAATATAAGTATATTTTTATTTAATAGTATAATATATATTATAATCAAATATCTATCAAATTCAATTAACTTGTTATAGGTAATAATAGTCTTTAAATTTGATCTTAGGAATAATATTTTATTCTATAGTGATCTTTGAATAAAGATCCTTCTAGTTCATTACTTCATTATCAACAAATTATTATTACTATATAGTATATCCTATCAAATCATTGAAATATAAAAAATTACAAAAAGATATATTAAAAAAAAAAAGAAAGGGGTATATTTAAAAATATTCAAATAAACAAATAAGAAAATAAA